GAAAACCCAGCCAGGAGGGCCTGGGCGGGGTCGTCGGCAATGAAACCGGGACACGTGCTCTCATACCCGGGGGGGAGACTTGTTAAAAGTCGGGTGCTCAGCCGCCCAAATCTGTTTTCCCTTCCCCTTTCCTGACAGAACCTCAGTTTGGGTCGGGGGCACGTCACCACATCCCCCTCACCCCGCCCGGGGAAGGTGACCCTGTCTGCAGCTTACAGGAGTGGGGGACTGCGGGTCCAAACCCACCAGAGCCCCGCCTTCTCCACGCCAGCCATCAGTGCCAGGTGGGCGTGGCCGGCGCTGACCCAGGAGCCATCGGGGAAAGGCCGAGGGACGGCAGGGAAGACCCCCCGGGGCCACGCACTGTCCTCTGCCCGCATGGCATGCCTTTCAGGTTCAGAACTGTCAGGCTTATTGGCGTCAAGACCCTCGCACACCCAGGGTCCTGCAAAATGGGGGACCACTTCCTCCAGGGGTATGGGCTTAAAATGCGACGCCCAGAGCACGCTGGTGGTGCGCCCCGCTGTGCCCCCCAGGACTGGTGAGGAGGCTCGGGGATGGGGGCGGGGGGTGGGCAGAGGCTCCGAGGGAGGAGACGCACAGAAGGCCCGTGGATACACCCCGGGCCCCTTTGATCCCGGGCTCTGATCCAGCAGGACTCTCCGGCGGCCTAGTTGCTAGCGGAGCGAAGGGATTGTCACGCGTTTCCCCTGCCAGGCGCGTCTGCCATGGGCCCCCCCATCGCCCTCCCCGAGAAAGGGGCGGCAGGCTTCACTGAAGGGCTAGAACTGCGCACCGATGGGGGCGGGGTTGCTGGTGGGCGGGGCTGCCGTGCTGGGCGCCCTGGAGCTGGCCCGGGCCAAGGTCACATTTCAGGAAGAAGTGGGGCCTTGCGAAGCCGTGGGTGGTGGCTTCTTGCTTCACTGGCACCTCTCGCCGGCCCCTGCCCTGGGGCGCCAGCTTGGCTGCGGTCCGTTCCTGTTTGGTTACTGTTTCCTGGGCGACCGTGAGAACAGGGGTGGGGGTGGGGGGGGGAGATGGGTGGAGGGGGAAGGGATGATTGGCAAGAGAGGACTCAGGATTTCCTTTTTTCTATGGTTTTATTTATTTAGTTTTAGAGAGAGGGGAAAGGAAGGAGAAAGAGGGAGAGAAATATCCATGTGTGGTTGCCTCTCGAGCGCCCTCTACTGGGAACCTGGCCCAACTCAGGCCTGTGCCCTGACTGGGAATCGAACCAGCAACTCTTTGGTTCACAGGCCGGCACTCAGTCCACTGAGACACACCAGCCAGGGCATCAGGATTTTCTTGTCCTTCCCAGAACCCCACCGGAGAACCCTTTGCTCTCACCCGTAAGTATTACTATTATTTATTTTATTTTTTAATCCTCACCCAAGGGTATGCTTATTGATTTTAGAGAGAGGGGAAGAGAAGGGGAGAGAGAGAGACATGGGTGCCTCCTATACCTGCCCTGACCGGGATCGAACACGCGGCCTTTCGGTGTATGGGCCGATGCTCCCTCTGACCCGCGGGGCCAGGACTCACCGTTGAGTATTTAGAGTTCACTGAACACGACACGTGAAATGAATTCCTGTTTGGAAAATGGCATTGAATGGAGCTTGGAAGCCGGCCGCACAAACAGATGCTTGCAATTCGGTCGATGCGAGGGTGGCAGCCTCGCGCCGGGGCGGGGAGCGGGGGCGGGCGGAGGGTCTGCGTGTACCCCGCGCCTCCTGTCTCTGTGGAGAGGAGAGAATTAGCGTGCGTCTGGGTGGGGGTGGGAATAAACTCAAAGGGGTGAGAGGGCACCGGGAGGCCAGTCCCCGCACCACCTCTCTCTGACCTGGGAGGCGGCTGCTTGTTCTTTGTGACAGTTCGTAATCAAGCACCAGAGGCCTTGCCCTGACTTCACGTTCAAGGTCGGAAGAGGAAACATTGAGAGACACTACGCGTGAGCTGAATCCTCAAGGTGACAGGCATTTGCTAACTGGGGTCCAAGTTGGGCTCCCGGGTGGGACTGACTGTCTGCACTCCCTCCGGGTCCCCCAGGGGCAGCCCTGGGCGGGGCCAGCTCTGCCCCGCCCACCCCGTGGAGTCCAGCTCTGCCCCGCCCACCCCGTGGAGTTCCGGGCCTGGAACGGGGCGGATGGGGCGGGGCGGGGCCAGCGGGGCTCACCGCCCTCCGTGCTCTGGTGTGGTAAGTGCTGTGGGAATGAAACCACGGGGAGCGGGGACACGAGACAGAAGGCCGCTGGGAGAACCGAGTGGCACGGGAAGGGGGCAGGCAGGCAGGCAGAGGGTGACTTCCGATAATCCCCGACTTATTGGAGAGGGGTTATTGACGAGGGTCCGCAGTGGGGAAAACGCCCACCAACAACCCCTGAGGACTAATGGACCCTGGATGTCTCTGGGAATCCTCCTCCACGGGAACCCCGTTGGGTTGCATTGCCGGCGAGCACGGCAGCTGTGCGTGCTCTGCCTGCCCGCCGCTCGCCCCGGGTCGGGGGGGGGGCGCCCTCTGCCAGGGGCCGGCTGGCGCCTAGCCTCCGCTCTGCAGGGCACACGGCCTCTGCGGTTGGAGTGGGAAAGCCGCCGCAGAGGCTGGAAACGTGTGGGCGTGGCCAGGCGGCGGGGCGGGGCGGGGGGGGTGCGGCGGCAGAAGGGCCTAGGTCCGCGTACTCCAAGGGCGGCCCCTGGCCTGGTCTGGTCAGCACGCCCTGGAGGCTTGTTAGCAATGCAGAGTCTCGGGCCCCACCCAGAGCCGCTGGGTGCTTTCTCACTGTGCTGGGCCGGGGCTCCGCACCCCGAGATCAGGGTTGGGAGGAGGGAGAAGGGAAGACTCAGGTGAAGACTCCAGGCAATGGCTCTGAGGAAGACGGGGCGGGGGTTGGGCCAATCAAATTATTGATTACACCTTTGAGCCAGGTGCTGTCAGGACTGGGAGATAAGGGCGGGGCGGGGGGGGGGGGCCTGCAGACACGAGAGGACCCGCCCTCTCCCACTCGAAGGCAAGGAGGAGGAGCCAGGGGCAAAGTAACCCTCCTGCACAGGTGGCAGCGATGAGCCGTGAGAAGGTTCCGGAAGCCGTGTGGGAGAGGGCGTGGAAGAGAGGACACCTGGCTTGGGTCGGTGCCGGCAGGAGACGCGGAAGCCCTCGTGAAAGAGCGGAATTCAGTTGGTTTCTGAGAAACACCCGTTTCGACACAGCCAGACGGGAGTTGGAAGGCGTCGGGGAGAGACGACCGACCAGCGAACTCTGCACTGTAAGGCTAACCCTGGTCCCTCCGCGCCCTTTGGGGACGGGGGACCCGTCTGACCTGTAATTTGAGGACATTTTAAGGGTATTTTTGTGTAGGTGGAGGATTTTCTGTATATTTTTCCCTAGTGTATAGGTTGCACCTTTGTAAGCATGAAATAATGAAGATGATGATGATAGTAAGAATTGTGTAATTGTAATGATTCTGTAACTTGTGCTCAAGTTGGACAGAGCCTTGAATTGCTAAGTCTGGGTTTCTCCTCCGGACAGAGTGCACACGTCACTGACCTGGCAGCTGCCCCCCGCCCGCCCGCACATGCCCGCCGTCTCTGTTTCTCACCAAACTGAGGTCTTAGAGGCATCACCCATCCCGCCCAACCCCGAGGAAGAACGAAGCTGGGAGAAGGAGCGTCTGAGAAAGTTTATTCTGAACCAGGAGCCCCAGCGACTCTCCGGCCGCCTCCAGCTCCTGCCCCAACTCGTGAGGCCCCCCTGCACCGAGAAACCCCAGCCGCTGCCGGGGTCCCCGTGGGGAGGGCAGGCAGCAGCCCGGCTGCTCCCCGGAGGGGACGGGACGGTGCCGACAGGGAACGAGGAACAAAACGTCTGTGTGAGCCAAGGAAACGGACGGACGTGGGCGACTGCGTCTGGACACCGCCCTGGCTCGGAGGAGGGAGACAAGGACCGTTGAAAAAAATAGAAACATAGAACCACACGTGACATTCTCATGCCTCTTGAGGAAACAGAGAGGGGAAACTGACAGCCCCAGGGACTGATTCCCGTGTGAAACGTGGACACCGGAACTTGGATGGAAAAGCAAAAACGTGGCGATCAGTGCTAACCCCGTCACGACCCACAGGGGGCGCTTGTCACGCCGAGTTTTAAGCCGAGGAAACTGCCGCTCACATGGTGAGGCCCGCTGCCCAAGGACTTCCGGTGAGTACCGGCCTCTGAACCCGGGCCTGATCCCAAGTCCAAGCTTTATCCCGGACGCTGCGGCTTCCCCCCCATCCAAGGCGACGGGCCCCCAAGGAGTGTGTGTCCCGCCTGCCCCCACGGTCTTCCTCGGGCAGGCTCCCTGGGAGGGCCCAGGCCTCCTTCCCCCCTTCCCAGGGCAGAAATCCTGGCAGGGGGTGCAGGGAGTCAGCACCCTGCCGCGGGACTCGGTCTGGGGAACTCGGACGGCACTAAGGGGTGACGGATGGGCGGTGACTTGACCTCGTGAGTGGGCACCCACGTGCCATCCCGGCTCTGGGGCGGGGTGGGGGCCCGCCGGCATGGGAAACGGGGTGAGGCGGTCTTCTGTGATCGAGGGGGGAAGTGCGTCTGCAGCCCCCAGACCTTGGGGACCGGGCTGGGCTCGGGCCCCGCTGCCGCAGGAGGCCGGAGGCCCTTCGGTCTGGCTCCAGGCCCGGGGAGCAGAGTGTCCGCAGGAAGGGCACATGGCGCTCGCGTACTTGGCCTTCGAGCTGCGTTTTCAGAAGTGCTGTCCGGGGGGCCGGGCGGGCCGAACTGCAGAGGCGGGAGGTCGGTCCGGTTGCTCCGGGGGCGGAAGTGCGCGTCCGCCGTCGCGACCAGACGCGGCACGTGCAGACGCTCACAGGCGTCAAGTGTTCTGCACGTCTGCCGCCAGCAGGAGCCCCCCCGCCCCCGCCGCAGCCCCGTAGTCGGAGCCAGGGCAGAGGGCCGCTGAACCCCTTTGGCAGATGCAGGAAACTGAGGCACAGGAAGGCGGAGGTTTGTCCAGGGTCGCTCACAGGGAATCCTTCCGGCCGCTGGGACCACACGCTGGGCTTCCCAGCTCCAGGCCCTGGGCTCCGTCTGCATCCGGTGTGGCCGGGGTGAGGCAGGGCCCGTCGTGGCACCGAGGGGGACGTCGGCGTGTAGGCCCGCTGGGCGGCCCCAGGGGGTGGCTCAGCTGCTGCAGCCCCGGGGGCAGGCGGGGCCCAGGGCGGTGTTGTTGCAGCCGTCCCGGAGGCCGCCCAGGCCCTCGCTGTCCGGGCGCTGGCCGCCCTGCCCCTGCTGCCTCCTCAGCCTGCAAGCAAGCACAGCAGCGGCCTGCGTTAGTGACATGGGGAGGGGAGGGGAGGTGTCCAGGACACACCGGGGCCAGCAGAGTGCCCGGGAGCCTTAGCCCACACCTCCCCCCCATCACCCTCCGGCCTGGGGGAGCACAGTGCTCTGGAGCCAGGTGGGCCTGCGCTCAGAGCCCGGCTCAGGTGTGCTCAGGCGGGGTATTGCCCACGCAGAGCCTCAGCTTCTCCATCGGCACAGTGGAGACAGCAGCGCCTGCCTCGTGGCCCCCGTGAGCTCTGCAGGCACCGTAGGCATGGCTCTCCTGAGCTCCCCGTCAGTACCGGTGGTGGCACCCCCACACCACCCATGCACAAGTTCGCACCGAACGCCCACCGACGGACCGGCCCCTGTGCGGGGTGGCGGTGGGCAGAGGAGACCCTGGTGGGCAAGGCGGTCCTGGGGGACATGACTGGGATTTTTGTATCTAAAATAGCGTGCCCACCCAAATATGGTTGTACTGAGAGCCAGCACGGCCGTCTGTCTCCAGACTCCTGCACTCCCGGTTTAACAGAAAATGAAGCTTCGAGCGCCGCTTCCGAGGGGTGGAGCCTAGTGACTCAGGAGCCCCGACGAGGGAGAGATGGCTTCTGACCCTGGTGTGGGTCAGGGAGGGCTTCCTGCAGGAGGCGGTGTTTGAGTCGGGCTTTAGGGACCCCAATCGAGTCCCTCCCAACTCAGCGTCCTCGCCCATCTCTAGCCAGCCCGGGGTGCTGGGGTCCCAGCACAGCCCACACCCACTAAATAATAATAATAATAATAGCAATAATAGTAATAGTAGTGAGTAGTAATTTACATTTTTACTCTGCTAGGCATTGTATCGACAGCCTCATTTAGGCTGGTAACAACCCCAGTGCCAGGCAGGGGGCGCCACTGGCCCATGCTGGAGACCAGGCCCAGGGCAGGTGAGTGCGGGGTCTCAGGCCGCTCGGGCAGCCACAGCACGGGACGCAGCCCCAGGCTGTTTCGCCCCATCGAGAGGGCCCCCAACCACCCGCAGCCCTGCCTCTGCGCCAGCAGCACCCCTGGGCCAGCTCCGCCTGCTCCCCCACTTCCCACGAGGACGCCGAGGCCCAGTGGGGAGAAGACACGCAGGGTCCGAGGGCTGCTGCCCCTCCGGGGTCCCCGGGGTCCCCGGGAGCCCTGAGAGTTGGGAGGGCACTGCACGGCGGGCAGCAGGGGACTCACTGCTCTCTGTTGAACACGATGAACTCCTTGCGCACGGTCTCCAGGCGCTGCTGCAGGTGTCCGTTCTGCCGAAGAGCACAGACCGGGGGCTGTGAGCGACCGGAGGTTGGTCTGAACGCACGGGGGGGCCGAGGGGGCCTGGGGTCGGGGACAGCTAAGCGGCAGCAGCCGCCTGCGGCACGGGCAGCTGGGCCAAGGGGGCCCGGCGGACAGAGAGTGTGAAGCCGTGCAATCCCGCGTGCAAGCCCTTTGGGGCGGCTTGTGGAGGGAAAACCATCAGCTTGGCCTCCTGGCCACCAGAACGCCCCTTGGCCCCAACTAAGCACGAGGGCGCGGGTGAGTGCGAGGCCACCCTGCAAGGGGCGCGTCCCCGTCAGGAACAGGTGCCACAAACCACCTGTGTCACCATCACCGCACACCGGGCAGACACCACCCCCACCACCCATGTGTCCTTATTAACACAGACTCAGTGGCATAGCGCCGGGGGCCCGCCATCCTTCTAGCCTCTCCAGAGACGTGCTCATTTCTTTTAAAAGCAGCAGAAAAAATGAACTCTTAGTATTCCAAGTTACACTCATCCTCACACTCCCATGGTCATAAAACATAATTTAAAAAATGTTTTTGTGGGGGAAGGGGCAGTGGAGGGCTGAATCGGGCCCCCTCACGAAACACGTGTTGAAGTTCCAAAGTCCTCACCCCTGGGCTGGTGACCGTGGCCTTGCTGGGGGACAGGGTGGTTGCCACTGTCCCCAGTTAAGATGAGGTCATACTGGAGAAGGGTGAGCCCCCGATTCGATGGCAGGTGTCTTTCAAGGAAGGACACAGGGCCATGGAGGGGAAAATGCCACGTGACGATGGAGGCAGACGGAGTGATGCAGCCACAAGCCAAGGACCGTCTGGACGGCTGGCCACCACCTGCGGCCAGGTGACACGGGAGGACCCTCCCTGCAGCCTTTGGAACGAGCCTGGCTCTTCCGGTACATTGACTTTGAACTTCTGGCCTCCCCAAATGGTGGGAGAATAAATGTCACTTATGCTAAGCCACCAAGGTTGCACCACTGTGTCCTGGCAGCCTAGAAAACACAGACCCAAGGCCAGCGTGCCCGGGGCCCACGGAAGTCACAGTGTGGCCCTGGCTGTCTCCACAGCACGGACCCTGTCAGGACGACTCGGCACCCCTGTTGTGCTCCTGCCTGGGGGCACTCGAGGCTCCCCGTGCCCGGGGGGCAGGGCTAACCGCACGATCAGAGCGGGGACCGTGGCTCTGCCCCCAGTTCTGTGCGGTGACAGGCCACGTGCTGGACGGAGGCATCTCACTGACAGCAAGTGGGAGTACCTGGGTGGGGGGCGTGCCCCCCCACCCCCGTGCCCCCGGCTCAGCCACCCCCACGGAGTGCAGCACCCCGGCCCCCCCCGCCCACAGCGCTCACCAGAGGACAGCTGCCCTTCGCGCCGTCTTTGGTCCTGTTCTTCGCCAACCTCTTCTTCTTTTTGTGCAGCGGCTTGGACTCGAGGATCATTTCTTCCAGTTCGAACGTGGGGTCGCAGTTCAGTCTCCCTTTCTGGAAGGACAGCGCGGTTTCTCTTCGTCCCGCCCACCGCCGGCTTCGTCTCCACCGTCCTGTCCCTCCCCCCGCCCGGTCACTCACGCCGCAGGCGGTGCCGGCCCGCCCACCACTGCGGGCACGGCGCTTACGTGCACCTTCCCCGATGACGAGAGGCAGCGCACTCCCACTGTCCGCGTCCTCCGCTTGCTTCCCCGCAGCTCTCCCCGCCCACCCCGGACAACCCCGCCATCACCGTCCCGGGCTGCCCCCTACGTGCGTCCGCTTCTCGGGGCTGAGCTCAGTCTCCCAGCCTGTCCTCTCCACGTCCTTCACCCGACACCTTCCCGTGCCAACACTCTCTTCTATAAATATCGTTTTCAATCGTTCAGTTTAAAAAGGCCATTTCTGATCACATTCTTCCCAATTTCCAGTCCTAGTTGTCCGCTCCTGCTGCAGCGGGAGCCAGGGGCCCAGCCGGGCCCGGCCTGGCCCTCCCACAGGCTGCAGCCCCCCCACCCACTGGGGTCAGGAGGCCCCCGGGTCTCCCTGCCTCCCAGACCTGGGATCCCAAACCTCGGGCGGCCTTGGTCTGTCCCGGGACCCAGGACGCCAGCCGCCCAGGCAGCAGAGCCTCCTGGTTATAAGATCACAGCTCTGGGGGCACCATCTGTCCCCACACGCAGGTGGGACTTCAGGCCTGAGTCTCTGCTGGCCTGATGGGTCTGCCACTCATTCATTCACCCACTCACCCATTCACCCACTCGCTCACCCATTCACCCACTCACTCACTCACTCATTCATTCCAAGGCAGGCTCTGGGTGCAGAGTGCCCGGGGTCGCCCGGCCCCGCCCATCTCCCACCGAGGAACCCTGGCAAGCCCCCCAGCCTGAGACTCCCGACAGGCTCACCTCCCGGGTGCGGGCGCGGCACCCAGAGCACACTCCACCCTGTGGGCTGTTACCCGTCGTTCACTCGCTCACTCACTCACTCATGTGCATTGATCAGCCGCCCCCGAGGCCCCACCGCTCCCCCAGAGCCCAGCCGACACGGCGTGGTCCCCGCCTCGGGAGTTTCAGGAGGAGCACTGACATTGCAGGGCACTGACGTCAACCTGGGCACCTCTGCAGTGGGCTGACCCTCGAGGCTGCCGTCACCTGCGGAGGAGGTGGGGGCTGGCCGGGAAGCATGCCCAAGTCAAGTGACACCTGTGTTTGCCTCCCGTCCAGAACCCGTTCCCGAGACCCTCGTGTGGGCCGGTCGTTGTGTTTCACGCTGAGTCTGGAAGGAGGGGCGGGAGGCGGGGGACTGCCCCGTGGACGAGAACGGCGTCCCTGGAAGGGGGAGCAGGTGTGGCCAGAGGCGCACCCCAGGCTCCTTCCAGGTGTGACGGAAGCACGGGTCCCCTGCACACGTGCTCGTGTGGGGTCAAGGGCACCCGTGAGGGTGTGTTTGTGCGAGAGCGAGTGTGTATGTGATCGCATGTTTGAGAGTGAGTGTGCACGTGAGTCTGAGTGTGCGTGAGTGTGTCGGGATGGGGCTGGGGAGGAGCGGCAGGTGAGGACCTCGGAGAGCGCCGTCGCCAGAGCAGGCGATCAGCCAAGGGCACCGAACGTGACCTCCAGTGGGCGCATTAATGAAAGCGGCAGTGACACACTCACACACACAACACACCCACACACGCCAGGCCAGCACCTCTGCAGCCCGGCTGGGGGGGAGGCGGGGACAAGGGTGGGCTCAGAGGACCACGGGGCCACACCTCCAAGGACGCGGTGCCAGCCTAGCCGGCAGGGACACGGTGTCTGCTCGCCGGGAGAGCCACGAAGAAACCAGGGTCACCAGGTCAGCTGACACTGCGGCCCATGCGTCATAACCACCGTCTGCAAAAGGGGAACCTGAAGCCTTGGATTCGGGTAGAAACCGACTTGGGGAGACATTTTTGCATCCAGCGGAGCAAAGAGTCTGGAAGATACTCTGACATAAAACACCACTCTGGGGAGTCGGGGATGCACCCCCACACCTGCCCACCGGGGGGCCTCAGCAAGTCTTTTCCGCTCTTTTGCACTTGTGGTGTGAGTGTGCAGGCATGAGAGTGTGCATGCGTGAGAGTGTACGAGTGTGTGTGTCTCCGCAAGGCCAACTTCTACGCCCCCGTGCTGGACCTTGGTGAGCGTGGACCTCTGCTGCTCAGCGGCCAGCGACGGGGCCCCTGGGACAGCCAGGCCGGGACCCCCCCGAGGGTGGCAGGCCCTCCCACGGGGCCCCACTCACATGGGGCACGAAGCTGGGCGTCAGCGCCTTCTCGAACACTGCGTCCCAGTTCACGTCGGCCAGGTAGGGCGCGCTCTGGACGTCGCCGAGGCTGGACAGGCGGCTCTCGGGGTCCTTGGTCAGCAGCTGGGGACACAGGGCGATTGTGATTGCCTGAGCCGAGCACCACCGAGGTGAGTGGGGCTCTGTGGGCGGGGTTGTGGGAACCTGAGGGGCCTCTGCTGGTTGCGCTCAGGCCGTGCTGCACCCCGCCTGGGAGGCTGGCCCCGGAGGTGTCCCCTATGTTCCTCTCTCTACAGCAGCGGGGGACCGAGGGGTCAGGCTGCTTCCACAGGGTCACCCGGCCAGGGGCTCTTTGAGGGGGAGACTCAATTTGCCCTCGGGGACTACGGCCCTGTGACTCGCTGGCCCTCACAGGTGTCCGCTGAGGCTTCCAGTTAAAAATAAAAAGAATCGGCCACCTCATCTTGGGACTTTCGGCTTGAAAATGGGACGTACAAAGTGTCATCAAATTTGCCCTGGACGGTGTGAGGTGACCTCTGTGGCCAGAGGCCCTGACCTTGTTGGTAGCCAAGGGGACACATTTCAGCTTCTTCTCAGATTTCTCCTGATAATGGCGGCCGTAGACGGCGACCTTGAACCCAAACGGGCCTCTGCCTGTCCACGCGCTGCCTCACCGGGTGCGAAGGACGCCGGGGCCATGACCGCAAGGACGGGCGTCCTCGCCCCGGGGCCGCCGCTGCGCTGCGAGGGGCCTCTCGGGGGCCGCTGGCTGCGCTGTGCTGGCCCGGGCGCAGGGCGGCCACCCCTCCGTGTCCAGGTCATGACCAGGACGAGACCCGAGGGGCTCAGCCCCAGCTGTGGAGGGGCTGCCTCTCCACACCCCGAGAACAGCTGCTCTGTGCTAACAGCAGCAGCAGCTCCTGCAAACAAAAGGTCAGGAGAAGCCCGACCTCCTGAAGCTGGGCGCAGTAAAAGGCCGACTATAGCGAACATTGTACAGGGCCACCTGCATCACGTAGAGCCACCTGCGACACATAGAGCCACCTGCGACACATAGAGCCACCTGCGTCACGCGTTTCCACCGATCGGGAGCTGGCGGCAGCGTGAAAGAGCCCGCGGCTCTGCGGCCAGAGACGGCGCTCCATGCCAGACTCCACTGCCCAGCGGCCTCGTGACCCTGAACGCAAGGCAGAGCCCCGGCTCCGGCTCCTCGTCCCCTGGCCGGCTGGCTCACCCAGCCCACGCTGCGACCCGGCTCCCTCGGGGCAGGCTGGCGGCGCCCCCTTACCTGCTTCAGCAGGGCGACCATGCCCGTGCCCCATGTGGAGGAGTAGTGCACGCGCTCCACCTTGAACAGGTGCAGGACCTCGTCCACCGGCGTGGCCGAGTGGATCTCGTACGGCCTCTGTGGAGGGCAAGGGGCGGAATCAGGGTGGGCGCAGCTGGCACCGTGCGGTCACCGGCGACGGTTTCCTCTTTCCCGCAGGGAGTGCCGGGTGTTCCTGTTTCACGGCAGAGCAGGTGGCCCGGACGCATGGGCCACCAGTGAGTGACCAGGCCCATGGGCAGTGCAGGCACCGGCCGGTGGGCGCTCCGTTAAGGCCACGGGAGGTCAAGTGAGCTGACCGGGTCACACAGCCGGCAAGCGGCAGAGGCGCGATCCACACCCAGCAGCCTACCTCCAGAGTCCCCGCTCCCGGCTCCGGTTGGGGGCTCAGGGGCGTGGCCTGGAGGGGTCGGCTCTCGTCACCGGGCACCCGGCCACACCTCAGTCACAGCCCCCACTTCCCAGCCCAGCCGGCCCTGCAGGGGTCCGTGGTGACTTTGTCCTAGTTCTTCCGGCTCAACAAAGCAGGGAGTTACTGCTTGCTGCACAGCTCCCTTCGCCACCTTTGGCTATTTTGTGTAAATGAAATAGTGGGAGAATACGTGCCCAACGCCCCAGGACACTGAGCTAAGGGCTCGGGGAGGTGGGCACGGACACACAGAACGGGGGCACATGCGTGGTCTGCACCCCGAGGAACACGAGGCAGGGGCGCCTGCAGCACTGTGTGCTGTGGGTGCGCACAGGCCGGCACTCGGAACCACCAGGCCAAGCGGCTTCCCGGGTTGGAGCTGCCACTGATCGGCCGCTGACCTTGGCCGCACGTGACCTTCGCCCCCGGACATCCGGGGGCTGGACCAGAGGCTCACCGATGCTCAGGGACCTCAGAGCGGACACGCAGGCCACGGGGACTGGCACCCGGGGCTCGCTCCTCACACACAGGGCTCCTTCCCGCCGCCCTGCGCTGGCCCAGCAGAGTGGCGCGCCGACTCCACGCCAGCCTGGGGTGACCCGAGCGCCCCCTCCGCGGCCCCCGTGCCCACCGCGCAGGCGCGAGTCTCACCCAGCCCCGCAGCAGCTCGTAGGCCGTGACGCCCAGGGACCACCAGTCCACGGGGTACGAGTACCCGGGGCCTCCGTCCACGCACACCTGGAACACCTCCGGGGCTGCCAAAGACAGGACAGAGAGAGAGTGTCACCGTGTGTCTCAGTTCCCACTCACGGCCCCTTCGGGAGGGGACGTGGGGATGGGAACCATGAGGCCAGTACCCCACCTGCTGTGCCACCAGCTCCAGCCCCCGTGAGCTAGGAGTCGGCTCCAGAAGAGCCGCAGGCGTTCGGGAAATACTGGCGTGACCACCTGGGCAGAAGGACAGGGCGTGCCCCTTGGGCGCGGTGGGGGCCGCCTGCTCCGCAGAGCAATGGGCAGCCCCGGGAGCGGGCCCATTTGGCGGAGTGTGATCCCCACCAGCACGCGAAATGGGTGGGCAAGGTTTGAGTTAAGAGGGAGAGAAACTGCACCCAAGGGGCTGAGCACTTCGGTGAAAGTCACTCTGCTTCTGGCACCAACACCGGGTCAGGCGGCCCGGCGACCGGGGGTGTTAGAGCCCTCCGCGCCCGCTGCCGGCTCGGAGGCACGTTTATTTCGGCAGACTCGGGGCCCACCCCAAGCGCCCACCCGCAGTCGGAACGCCAGGGCCTGAAGGCAGGCTGGGGTTGCCGGGGGCTGGGGGCGGGGCGGTGACAACGGTCTGCAGCTAGCCGGTGGCGGTGGCCCCACGGCCCTGCGAACGCACCGAGTGACACGGAAATGCGGCTGTAGCGCGGTTAGTTCCGTTACGCGAACTTCCCCTCGGGAGAAAGCGGCGAAGGATGGGGGTGCCGAGGGGGGATTCATCTCCTCGCCTCCCCCCACCCCAGCCCACTGGGCTGGGCGTGCACCCTGAGCTCCCATTGCTCAGTGTGGCCTCTGGGAAAATCTGGTGAAATGTGTATGATTTCTAGCAAATTTGTTTGCAGATACGACTCGGCTCCGCCGTTGCCAGAGCAGCCAGAGTCTCCCCCAGGGAACCGCACCGCGCTGTGACCGGGGGCGCCTGGACTCGGGCATCGGACCGGTGTTTGGACAGCGTGGCGACGGGAAGGCACCGACGCTCGAGTCTGGGTCCGACCCCCGGCCCTGACTCTGCCTCAGTTGTGGAGGTGGGGTGCAGCCCTTCACTCGGGGTGGCTAGGGGGACTCAGGGCGACAACGCCCGGGCTGGCGGGCTGGCTCCGCTGCGGGAACCTCGGGCCGGACCTTCGTCAGCGGAGCTCTGATGCACGCGCCCGGGCCTGGCAGGCTTAGCCTCCCCACGTCCCCCTGCTGCCCAGAAGCCTGGGACCCCCTTAAACGTCACCCCCCACAGCCTCGTGACCTGACGGCCCCCAGACCCCGAGTTCTGCATTTGCAGCATCTTTGTCTCCCCCCGTCTCATCCGTCCTGGGTCCGCCTGACTCCAACGGAGTGGGTCCCACCTGCTCGTGGGGCGTCCGGTGAGCGACGTGGGCTTCCTAGCGCGCGCCGTCCCTGAGCGGTGCTGTGGGTCGTCATCCCTCCGGGTGCCCCCCCACCCCCGAGCCCCCTTCCCTGCCTCACCATCTGCACATGCGTCCTCCTCTGGGCTGAGGGACCCCCAGACAAGCAGCCACGTGGTTCCCTGCCAGCACCCCCAGGACCCCACAGCGGCTGGGCCACCCACGTGCTTGGACCGAGTGGGGGGCGGGGATGTGCCCGTCAGTAGGGGAGCGGCCGTGTGTGCCGAGGGGTTCCCTGGACACCCTCCTCATGCCCGCCAGCCCTGAGCCCACCCGGTGCTGCAGGTAGAAACAGCAGCTGACGGATTCTCTCCCGGCTGTCACGAGCAGTCCAGTGACAAATGTCTGCAGCCTGTGAAAGGTGACATTCTCTCTTCCCCTTCACACTTGGGGCCGATGATAGAACACAACATTTATGTCATAATCCATGTGCCACAAGAGTGACTGCTGTGGTGGCCCGGAACCACAGCGCCACACGGACTTGGGGCTGAAGTGCGGGTACGAGGCTGTGCCCGTCACTCCACGTGCGGGTGACGGAGCCGGCGCAGCCGCGGGCGCCGGGTGCTGGGTGAAGCAGGGTTTACGTGCACGGCCTCTCCCACCCTGCCAGCCCCCCAGCCAGCCAAGCGCCCCGATAATGTCCACTTTTCAGACGAGGCAGGAGAGGCATAAAGGGGTGTGGCGGGCTGACCTGTGTCCCCCCCAAATGGGTCCAGGTGCTAACCTCCAGCACCTGAGAATGCGGCTCATTTGGAAACAGGGTCTTTGCAGGTATGACGGAGGTGAGAATCTCTAGGTAAGATGTAGGGTCCACCCTGAACGTCTGTGTAGGAGGAAGAAGAGGGGGACCGAGACACAGAGGAGGCCGGGGAGGGGGCAGAGACCAGCGATGCGGCCACAGGCCCGGGGACCTGGAGCCACCAGGAGCCGCCAGCGGCAGGAAGGACCCTCCCCTGCAGCCTCCGGAGGACGCGGCCCTGCGGCACCCTGAGAATACTGCGCCCCCCGAACGTGAGAGGGTGACGCCGGCTGTCTCCAGCCACCACGCCTGAGGGTTTGTCGTGCGGCCTGGGGACACGGGTGAGGGGCGAAGACGGTGCCCCCGGTCGTCCGGCTGGTGTGGCAGAGTGGGGCAGTCTCTCCCGGGGTTCTGACTCCAGCGTCCCTTCCCCGGCGCTGCGGTGGCCGCCGGGAGTGATGGAGAGGCCCAGGACGGGTGGGTCCTGGCGCACCCTTACACCTTCCTCCCCGCCCCGCCCCCCCCAGAGCCTGGAGCTCAGCCAAGTACACAGCAGGCGCTTAATAAATGTACACTTCTCTCTTTCACCACTGAGGCCCCGGAGCCGGTCCAGCTCATGGCCCCCTCCGGGCCAGTGTGGCGGCGGCAAAGGGTCCAGTGGATGCCACCCTCGGGGACCACAGCCCTAGGCTGATGGGGGAAGGGCAGTGCGGTCTGTCCCCACAGAGGACACGGGGTGGGAGTGGGGGGAGGGGCCGGAGAAGCAACGCCTCTGCCCCTGGGGAAGGGCGGACGAGCCTCCTGGGCTGAGATCACTGGTGGCTTCCGGCTGCTGGGCGAGGACAGGACCAGCGAGCAGGACCACCCTGAGCCCACAGGGGCGGCACCTCCGGGAGACGCGCTGAACGGGAAGACGGAGAGCGGGGGCTCCCCTTCCCTCCCCAGCGCCCGGGAAACGGAGGCCCACTGCCCCGGGACAGAAGGGCCGGGGAGTGACCCTCTGAGCGCAGGCCCACGGGGCGGCCCAGAGCTGGGGGCGGGACAGCACCCGGAGAAGACCCTCGGGCAGCCCCTCTCAGCCCGGCCCCAGACGGGGCCCGTTGAGGGTGACCAGGCAGCAAGAATCCCGAACAGGCGCAGACCCTGCTGAGAGGGGCTCGGTTCTCCCTCCCCCCCGGCCCCCACAGAACGAAGGGACAGTCCTTTCAACAGATGGTGCTGGAACATCGGGGTGGCCAGGTGCCCCCAGAGGGAGCCGGATGCACCCCTCGCGCCGTAGTCAACGATGCCCCCAGAACGGACGTGGCTCCTGGGTAAAACCCCCAAGCACCGAACCTCGGCCGGAGGACCAGGCGAGATCCTCGTGAGCACGTGTGAGCAAGAGAGTTCCAGAAGCGACACCAGATACATGATCGATAAAGGGAAAACTGGACTTCATCGAAACTGAAGAGGACGCTTTTAAAAGACTCTAAAGATGCCGGAAAGTCAAACCAGGGGCTGGCTGAAAATGTGCGCACCACATGCACCCGAGGAAGGACTGGCAGCTGGTGCACATACAGGCTCTCAAAGAGCGTAGTCGGAACAGAGCGACAGTCCAGTGAAGTCGTGGGCAGGGGACGGAAAGGGTGCGTCACCTCGAGGGCACCGGGACGGCAAACAAGCACATGAAACTGTGCTCGGCAGCACCGGCCACCAGGGGGCGGCAGGTCAGACCTGCTCCCTACACGTCAGTCAGACCGGCTCGCAGGAACAACAGCACCCACGGGGCAGGTCCGGGCCCCGCGGAGGCAGAGCTGGGCAGGGGGAGGGGGGAAGTGGACCGGCCTCTCTGCAACACGCGTTGGCAGTTTCTCGGGAAGTTAAACGTACACTTTGCGTATAACCCAGGAACCCCCGCTAGGTGATGGTTCTAGAGAACTGAGAACGTGAGCGCTTACAAACACCTGTGTGCAAACGCTCCCAGTGGCTTTATTCAAAGGTATGGAAAGCCAGGAACAGCTCCGATGCCTTCGTGCTCGCCCAGGGGGGCTGCCTGTCGCCCCGCACGTCGCCCTGCGCGAGTCACCCAACTTCTCCCAGCTCGGGGCCGCCCTCGCGTTTGTGAGGGTGACGGGCGGAAAGCACTTCACGCAGCGCCTGGCACAGCAAGCGCCACAAAGCGACATCTGTACCGCGCGCTACTGCCAAACTGCACTTGTGGGAGGGATTCAGCAAGCCAGGGAGGGTCGCCTGAGCGAGTGGAGGACTCGGGGGGCAGGGGTGGTGACGCGGTGTTCAAACCTCCGCACGCCCATGCGAAAGACTGACGGACAGAGCCGACGAACAGCTAAACCGGGAACCACGGGCAACGCTCACTGCCGAACTAAGTTGTCCTCACACGCCCCGCAGTGGCAGTGGGTGGGAGCGAAGCGGCAACCGTGACAAGCCCGCCTGCCTGGGACTCCTGCGCGGAGGGGAACAGGGAGAAGCACGGCGGCGTGGGGGCGAACCGGAGAACAGAGTCCAAAGGTTCCCGGCCACGGGGCCGCACAGCTGGCCCAAAGACCAGAGGACCCTGGCCAGCCCAGCAGCAGGGGCGGGAAGGGGCCCTCGGCACGTCCTGCACCGGTGGTGGGTGCAGCCGGGACCCCGAGTCTCGTTAATCAGTGCAGCGGCGCTCCCTGCCAGGACCCCCCAAGGGGGCGCTGTTGGGAGTGGAATCGTGACCCAGCCGACAGCGGACCCACGGACCTGGGAAGGGCAGGTCCAGGTCCGAGTGGGCAGTGGAACCGAGCCGGGGAGCCCCAGCTCGGACGCCAGGCTCATGGCCTCGAGTTTTGACCTCACAGACACGACAGAAGAGGTCAGTCTGCTGAGCTGGAAAAGCTCCCCTAAACCGCCCTAAATCTTCCAAAAGTTCGGGAAACATGAAGTATCCAAGTCAAAATCCATGCAACCTTGTTATGACCCAAAGGAGAACAGAGAGCAGAGCAACAGGTTACACTGAGAACATACCAGCATGATGTGCCAAAAAAAAAGACCCAAACTGTAACCAACTGTCTCAAAGAGTTCAGTGATGGTGTGGTGGGCTGGCTCATTCCTGGTTCCCCAGTGAATCAAAGCATCAGGCTGTCCGGTAGCCCCTCCCACAGGCTCCCTGGTCTTGGTCACGTGACGTGCTCTGGCCAACCGGACGTCAGGAAATGTGAAGCAAGCAGAGGCTTGATAAGCGCGTGGGAAACGGGCTCCCCTTTCTTGAGACTACTGTCACCGGGTAGCAAGCACAGTCTGATCCCCTTGGGGACGGAAGGCCACACACAGAGAGGCCCGCTCATCCCGCCTGGGTCCTCGCTGAGCCCCGCCCCCACGGACCCGCTGGCTGAACCAGCGAGCCCAGCCAAAAGCAGAACCAGCAGAAGAGCCATCCCACCAAAGGGCAGGATGGTGAGAAGTGACACATTGTTCTTGTTCTAAGCTACTGAGTTTTTTTTTGCTGTTGTTTTTTTTTAAGATTTCATTTATTCATTTTAGGAGAGAGGGAAAGGCAGGGAGAAAGAGAGGGAGAGAAACACCAGTGTGAGAGAGAGAGAGACATTGGCTGGTTTCCTGTCATACGTGCTCCAACTGGGGGCCGAACCCACAACACAGGCAGGGGCCCTGACTGGGAATCGAACCGGTGACCTTTTGCTTCGTGGGACGATGCCTAACCAACTGAGTCACGAGAGCCAGGGCCTGGGCTACTAAGTTTTGACGTGGCTTGCTACTCAGCAATCAGGAATTAATATAGACATCAAGAACTAAGAACCAATAAAGACATGAATAAAATTATACAAGACATAAAAGAACAACATGAATTAGAATTTAAAACCTCAGACATCAGGCAGGAGAACTCAGGAAACAAATTAAAAACAACGGGAAATTATTCCAGTAATGATTCCTTCACTAGAAAGCGCACGAAGTAAAGAAAGACCACAGACAATGCTTCAAAAGAAAGAGAAAGAAAAGTGAGGAAAAGTTACACAAATGAAGGAAGAGCTAAGAAAGATTTGAAAACGACCAGTACTGAAGGCTGGCAAAGAAGACCCAGCGTGCGGATAACAGGCGTCCTTAAAGAAGACGGAAGGAGACAGAGTGTTGGCCAAAAAGAACACTTCCATCAAAAAAAAAAAAAAGTCACGAAGAAAAGCCGACCCGCAGCCACACGCCATACACCTACGCCTGTCGGCCCACGTGCCTGACACGGACGCCTGTTCCGGCAACGCCCACAGACACTAATCCAAGAGGGAAGGAGGGCTTGTTTGTTCCTTTTCCCTGAGCCCGGCGGGGCCAGAGTTCTCAGGGGACAGAGGGGAGGTGTTTCCGGCAGGAAGGCACAGCACGCACTGGGGACGGTGGGGGCGGAGGGGGAGGGACAGGGGACGCACACACACACAAAGGCTGCGGCCCCCGGCAGCTCCCACCCCGCAGGGGCCCGGGGCACTCACCCATGTAGGGCTTGGTCCCGGCCATGGAAGACGCCTTCTCTGCCCCCTTCAGGACCGTGGCGATGTTGAAGTCCGTGATGTGGACGTGTCCTGGGACAGAGAGAGGGAGAGAGAGACCCGGTGGGCGGGAGTGGCAGGCGGCGGGCCCTGCCCGTGGGACTGAAGGCCGCAGTCTGCGAGCTGACGTGCAGGGGGAAGCCACCGGAACCGCTACCTCCATTTGTATTTCATCTGACACTTGGAAAACATATTTTTTTCTTTTCCTTTTTGGCAGCATTATTCGCAGTAGCCAAGATGTGTAAATAACCTAACAACCTAAGTGTTTGCGAACAGGCAAATGGGCGAGGAATGTGGTACGCCAATACCGTGAAGTACTATTCAGCCATGAAAAAGGACACCCGCCTTTGGTGACAACATGGGTGGACCTGGAGGACGTCATGCTAAGTGAAATCAGGCAGAGAGACAAATACATAAACACACACTGCAGGACAGGCCTTACACGCGGAGTCTGAAAACCACCGAACCCACAGAGACAGGGGGTACAAAGAGGCTGCCGGGCGCTGGGGGTGGGCAACGGGGGGAGGTCAGCAAGAGGCCCGAACTCGGCGCTGCGAGATGAGCCTGGTCTGAGCGTCTGACGGGAAACACAGGGACCTCGGCTGGTGACACTGCTGTGCAGCTGACATTTGCCGAGAGTAGAACGTAAATGTTCACACCCATGTCTCTTTCATGGGCAAGCTTTCTAGTGCCATTTTTTGGTGGTTCATGCGTATTACCTACAAACAGACAAATCTATTTACACCGAGGCTGTGACAAAAGCAATCACGGGTTGCCAGTGTAGAGGCCCTGGCCCAGAGGATTCACCAGGGAGAGCCCCTGGTAAATAAGAGAGACAGGCCCGCCCAGACTGCGGGTCAGGGAAACCGTGAGTGACCACGGCTGGGGCGGCGCACAGAGAGGACTCTCACGCCCGGGGGGCACTCTTGTCCCCTGACTCTCTGCTGTGGTCAGTGGGGGCCTCAGGACTGTCCCTGACCAATTCAGTGGGGAGGGGGCTGGGGGTTGACACCCTCCTCCAGCCAGCCTAACGGGACAGGAACAGACCGGGTGCTCCCACAGGTAGGTAGGCGTTCTAGACCCCCGTGAGGGAAGAGGGGGAAGGGGAGGGGAGGGGGCTGGAGACAAGACGTGGGAAAGGGGAGAAGGGGAGAAGGGAAGCAGAGGCAGGGGGGCTCCTGAGGGGGCAGTGCTGGCTCTCCAGGGAATTTGGAGCACAAGCACCCAGCCCGGAGACCCCCGAACAGCGGCTATAAATGCACTCACATTCTTCCCTGTTTGTCGGCACAGGCTGTGAACACGGATGGTTGGACCGTCACACTTGAGACACATTTGCGGGGGGGGGTGGATGGCGTGCACAAAGCTGGCTTAGGGGGGACTTGGAGGGCACCTCGAAGGGATAGGTCCTGCTGAGGGGCCCCCGAGAGAGGCGTGTCTGATGCCATCAGCCACGGTGGACGGAAAAGGCATCATGGCCAAATCCCAGGTGTCGGCCCGGCGGCCAGCACCGATGAGTGAGGGGCCACGCTGCCCGGCACTGTGTCCGGGGTCCTGGGTGTGACGCGGCCATGAGATGCTCAGAGATGACTGGCAGGCAGGCCCCTCCAGGTGCGTGGACTCTGCCGGGAACCCTTTCTGGCCAATGCCCCGCGTCCCACCCAGGCAGGGTCCCTGGAGTGTCTCCAGCCTGCAGCAGCCTGCAGGGCTGGCTGAGCGGCTCTGCCGTTCAGTCATACACCCACGGCCCTGCCTGCAGCGCGGCCGTGGGGGGCCGGGCTTGGGGGCACGGACTCGAAGCTTGACGGCCTTGGTTTTGGTCTCAGGTTTGTTGTGACCCAGTGGGGGGAAGTGAAAACCGGGGAGATGGTTTTCCAGGGGGATCAGGAAATGAAGAGTCGTCTTTGTTTCTGGAGCTACTTAACGTGATATTCTGTGTCTTCGTCCAGTGTGACAGGACCCCCAGGACCGGGGCAGCCTGGAGATGAAGCCTGACCACGGAGAAGCTACAGTTGCAAGGATATCGAGAAATGGGGCCAGAGCCTGATCAAGCCCTGCCTGAAGCTGCCTCTACTGGTCTTCGGTTCTACCAGCTGAAAAACACTCTTTATTGCTTAGGACAGCTTGAGTAGGGCCTTTGGTCCTTGTCAACACTGCAGGTGTCCCGTTGAGACAGCCACTCACTATGAGATCTGGACAGCTCTGTTCACTCAGCCATCCTCGGACTCCTGATCTAGAGAGTGGAGCTAATACTAATAAGCAGCTTGCAGAGCAGTTTTAAGCATTAAACAGGGTGGTGGGGGACGGAGAACGTGACATTTGAGCACAGACAGGAAGAAGAGAGGCAGCAAGCCACTGAGCCACTGGGGAAGAGGGTGGCAGCCACACGGGCCCTGCAGGGGACCAGCAATGGGCTCAAAGAGGGGCAAGAAGGACCGACTGTGCAGGGCCCTCAGGACTGAGGACACTGCCACTCACTTCGAGGAAGACCAGGAGTGACGTGATCCAACTCATTTGGGACATCCTGTCGGCTGCTGTGACGGGACGGCAGGGCCAAGGCCTGAGCAGGGGGCTGATACCGAGGGAGAGGAACGCACCCCCGTCGGGCTGAGCCCCTGAGACTGAGGGCTGCGTGGCTGGTCCCGCGTGGGCGTCAAATCCCACGTTGATCCTTGAAGCCCTCTCGTTAAGAGGGGACGATGCCCTCGTTTTGCAGAAGAGGGGCCTGACCTTCCCGAGACCAGCATCCTGTGCGAGGCTGCGCGGCTGATGTGTGGAGAAGCCGCACTTTCTCTCCCGGTCCCCCTCCCTCTGCCGCACTCTGTCCCCTCGAGGGGACGGCTCAGCTCTGCCCTGCTCCCTCCCGGCCCTGGGGCCCTGGGGCCCGGACGCTGGGGCATCTCTGAAGCAGACTGCGGGCCACACCGGAGTGCAGGCACAGCAGGAGTGACAGACGGCAGAATCCCGCTTCTGTCCTTCTCGGCAGCAGGAGGAGCTGTGACTTCCCTGCACGTCTCCTTGGAGGGCTGAGTAACACGTGGGAAGCGGGAAATGGGCGCCTTACGAGGTCTCCCAGGAGTTCCTTCCGGGAGGATGGAGACGGACTGTAAAGTGTGCTGATATGAGCCACGTTTTAGGCTATTTGCTTTGCAGAAATTGAAAACCTTCAAAACTCAGAGAGAGGAGCCCAGGGCATTGTGAGAGACCCGTCAGCACAAGTTCTGACGAGTGTCGCTCGTCAGTAATCACACTCCCGGCCCTGCTGACGCGTCCTGTGCTCCGCACGCTTCTCTCCTGTCTCCGGACGCAGGGAAACCGTCTCACGTCTGCGCCTGTGACAGCGTTTGGAATGCTCTCCCCCCGCCCCACGCCCGCTGCCTGGTGGACTCCCATTCATTCTTCTAAACCCGGCCCAACAGCTGTGTTACTGACACACGCATATCGGCCTTTGCTTACATACTTCCACTAACGGGAAACTCACTGCTTGTGAGAGGAGACCTGGGTACCTGAGAACTCCCTGCACTGCCCGTGAAGGCTCCTGGCCGTGACAGCGGTGGTGGGTAATAAGCCATTCACTCCTTAGTATAAAGTAGCGTGGTCAGCGCTTTGCCCCAACGCCCAGAGCAGCGGAGACACGTGATGAAACAGGAGCTTGGAGAAGAGGGAGGAGGGCAGGTCCAGAGGACCAGGGGTGGGGACAGTGCAGGGGGGTGTGGGGGGCACAGAAGGCAGGTTGGGGGCCTGTGCGAGTTTCATGGGAGGTGGCGAAGGATGGGGAGCTCAGAGTGGAGCACTCTGGGAGGACAGTGAGAAAGGGCTGAGGTCAGGGGTCGAGGACAAGGGCAGAAAGGGAGGGAGGGGGAGGGATGGATGGGGACCTGGAGGTTGAAAGTGAGGAAGTGCAGAGCAGGCGGGGCTGTGGGAGCGCTGCAGCCCGGCTGTGCGGACAGGGCGGGAACTCGGGCGTCGGCAGCGCCCAGGTACCCCACAGGCTCTCCGGGTGTCCGTCCTCATAGATGCACTACGGCGGAATTATTCCCATGACCTTCTGTTCCTGCCTTAACTTTGCTTCTGGTGCAGGAGAGACACCAGGGGCTCACTGGCCACACTACCCACCCCCCCTGACCCCCAGATGGCCTGGAAGGTGGCACCTCTCTGCCCGTCTGATGGGGGGCTCTGAGGCCCTGAGCAGTGAGCTGCTTTTCCGGGGCCATCGGCCCGCAGGTGGGGGTGCTGGGGCAGAAACCCCAGGGCCCTCCAGCCCTCTGTCACCCCGAAGTCTGCCCGGCCGTCCTCACACCGGGTCGCCAATATCCAAGTCTTCAGACGTGAGCCCTTGACATACACTCACCTGGGCGGAACGCGGACCAGCAGTTCACACAGGTGCTCGCCCGCCGCCAGCACTGAAACCCCAAGAGGCTTCCCCCTCGATCCTGACATCGTCTCACCAGGACCCCTGACCTCCCGGGGCCTCTGCCTCCCCGCGCCCCACCTGCAAAGAGCCCCCCAGACCTACCGTGCTCGTCCAGGAGGATGTTGTCTGGCTTGATGTCTCTGCAACAGAACAGAAAGAGGCTGAAAACACAGTGCCCGGTGCTGCTGACAAGCGCACGGCGAACGCGGCACGCGGGGACACGCGCCCGGCAGCACCCCGCCAGCCGGACGGATGGAGCAGGCAGTGGCGGCTGCAGTCCCGGAGTGCCCGCGATCTCCCTCCTCCCGTTTCCTGGGACTGCGGGCGGGCCGTGCGAGCAGTTACCCCGGGACATTCGTAAGGGTTTCTGGCCTCTCCCCGTAGTGGGCGCCTCCCTGAGCACCTGGCCTCAGCCGGCAGGGGCAGGCGCTTCCCCTCTGGAGGTCGTGAACCCCCACCTCACCGGGCCACGCCCCCCGCGTCACTGTCTCCCGTCCGTGGACTCGGGAGCTGAGGCTCCGGAGGGTCGTGACGCGTGTGTGTCCGGATGCACCACGCCCCGCCCTCCGCCCGCGCCCCTGTGGCCTGCGCGCGAGGGGGGGGGGCCTGGCCCCTTGAGCGGGCTGTGGAAGCAGAACAAAGCCCCCGCCACACAGCAGCAACGAGAAGGAACGTGCAACAGAGACGGCCGTGGCCCTGACGCCCGAAACATTTAACGTCTGCCCTTCGGGGAGACACTCTGCCGGAGCCGTTTTAGGGGCGCACAGCGAGCCACAGGCAGGGAAGCCGGGCCGGGGAGTTTCGGGGTCCGCTCTGCATCCAGCGACGGGGCACACTGCCGAAGCGTGGGAGAATCCCAGACGGTCAGCCGGAAGGGACCTCGACTGTGTCTGAAACGGACAAGCCCTGGCTCTCACACCCTCCCTGGGCCTCTGCGCCCTCATCTGTCAGGGCGGGCAAGGGTGGGGGTGGGGGGTGGGGGGGTGGAGGGGTGGGGGGTGCAGGCCCAGGGCGGGGCGGCTGCAGACTCCGACCAGAGACTGGGAAGGCGGCCGACTCTCCTGTGGGGCCTGCGCCCTGCAGCCTCCGTTCATCAGCCTGAAGCTGACTGATGGCCCCACTCGGGACAGTCCCCCAGCCTGGTCAGTGCCCTCTGAGTGACTCCCTCTCGGCTGACAGACGGGGAGCGAGGAGGGAGATGGAGAGACCGAGGGTGGAGGCCGGGAGGGAGAGGAGAGGGGGAGAAGCTGGCTTGGGGTCTCCCCCACCCCTAGCAGCACGGGCATACTTCGGTGAGGGGGTGTGTGGGGGTTGGGAGCCGGGCAGCGGTGAGGTCAGCGCCCTCACTGGAACCCAGCGGTCATCACCTGCCCACTTGGGGATCTGGCCCGGCTTGGTGACCTGGGCCTTACTTTCCTGGCCTGGGAGCGCTGTGAGGACCAGTGTGAGCGCTGGCAGAGCCTGGTGCTGGAGTGAGAGGGAGGGAGGGGCCTGGGGACAGTGTGGGAGGGAGGGAGGGAGGGGCCTGGGGACAGTGTGGGAGGGAGGGAGGGAGGGAGGGAGGGAGGGAGGGGCCTGGGGACAGTGTGGGAGGGAGGGAGGGAGGGAGGGAGAAGTCCGCCATGACAGGGCCTGGGTGGGGATCCTGGGTTGGGGGGGGCCCCCACTGGGGGCGGGCCCAGCCTTTGCATCACCTGTGGAAGACGGTTGGGAAGCTCCCAGTGAACCTGGGGGCTGACGAGACGCATCTGTAAAACTAGAACGCACTGGGACAGGGGCGCCCGGCCTGCGGCCCAACGCAAAACAGTGCGTTTGCTTAAAACATCACGAGTTCTTTTGTGATCATGCGTCACAGCGTGTTTAACGTGTGGCCCCAGACAGCCCCTCCTCTCCCCGTACGGCCCAGAGACGCGGAAGGGTGGACACCCCTGCGCTAGAACGCACCGGAACACGCGTCCCCGGCGGCGGGCAGGACGCCCGGGTTTCCCGGACGTGGCTCAGCGCTGCAGAGGCGCCTGGCACAGGGTTCAGTGGCCGACGAGTGCTTACGGGGTGGCTGAGTGAGTCCCCGTGTGAGACAAGGGGTCAGAACAGCGTAAAGCCCCTGGGACAAACAGACCGGCCACTTCAGACCAAAGGACGAACGCTGTCATCACAAGGAACGAACTAGACTGGGAACAGGAGGTCTGGTCCCCCCACGGGAACCCCTGCCGGGGGCTGGAGAGTGGGCGCTGCGCCCACAGACCCACTCCCAGTCGCCCGCTGCGGGGCCGGGCACAGAACAGGGTGGGGGTGGGTTGCGGGGCTAAAAGGGGAGGGGAGTAAGCAAAGGTCTGACTCACAGGTGTGGTCCCTGGCCCCTACGCCCTCCTCCGGCCACGCAGCCCCATCTTCCACAGCCAAGCCAAGGTCATTGCCGTGCACAAGGCCGTAAAGGCCCCAGAAGGCTGACCTGCAGACACTGACATGGCCAGCTGCTGCCGGACCGTCCCACGCCCCACGGGGGCGTCGACCTCCCAGCTCTTGCCGCCTGACCCTCCGCCACGGAGCCCACCCTCCCCCACCCCCAAACCAACCAACCAGCGTTTCACTGTCTCCTTCTTCAATATCAGTGGACACTTGTGTGTGACCAGTAATCATTAGAGAAAAACCTTCAGAACGAGATGAAATCAACAGGTAAAAGGACCTCGGCAGACACGAACGATCGCAGGGAAGAGGGAACTGAGGAAGAACGGTCACTACCATCGCCGAGTGTACAGAGGACACCGTGTGCCCGTAAAACACGGGAGGCCGTGCGGGAGGAGCCTCGGGGGGGACAGCGCGCTCGGCGGGGGGGACTTCCGAGACCCGGGAAGACGGTCGGTGGGCGGGTGACGCGGAACCTTGCTAAGTCAGTCGTCTCCTGACCCAGAAAAAATGAGAGCTGACCTGTCATCTCCCCCCTTTTAAACGTTCTGGGTGTTTCTGTCTGGCACGGGAGGAAGCATTAGATCAGTGACCATTTCTTCGGGGGGACGCCAGCCTAGACTCCTAATGACGACGTCTCCAAGGCGGAACGCCGTGCAGGGAGCCGGATTCTGCGAGCCCCCGCCAGCCGGCAGCGCCAAGCCGCCTGCAGACAGCACACGGGGCACCACCGTGTTTCCAGTAAATTAACTGCGTCCGAACGCAGCTCCGCTGGACGGGCGCAGCAGGACCCGGGGGCCCAGGGCTGCGGCAGCGTCAGGGACTCGCTGCTCTGGCCTTGCTCACTCGCCACATCCACCAGAGCCCACACCCCCCTTCTGCCCCCAGATGCCCTGTTCTCCAGCCCTGGTCCCCAGGCCTCCGCTCTCCTTCCTCCTCCGTCAGCCCTTCTGACTGACTGCTGGCGCTCGTCTCCCTTCCCCGGGGGGTCAGCCATCCGTCCGCTGGCTCCCTTCCTCGTGCTCTCGTGCTGGACCACCCGCTACACCCGTGGGCCTGTCTGCGGGGTGAGGGGGTCCGCACGCCCCACCCCGGCCCGTGGTCAGAGATGGAGAGATGCGGCCGGTGCCCCCAGCGCAGCAGCTCTGAGTCACGGCAGGAATGGTCTCTCCCCGGCTGCTGTTGACAAAGGCCTCTTCGGGGCCTTAAAGAAATCCTCGGCGATCCAGCTCTCATTTAGCTAAGCTCCAGGGAGAAGCGTGAGTCTTTGCAGGGGAGTAGGCCCCTCGTCCCTCTGTCTCCGCAGTCACAGTCTGAGCACGGAGTGACAGGGAGGCACGGCCTCTTCGCTGAACCCACAGGCGCGGGTCCCATCTCATCACACCCTTCCCCTTGGAGCCCTGCTGTCGCCCGAGAGCCACCTCCCCCCCCCACCCCCCCCGCAGGGGCGTCTACGCTCACGGCTGGGAAACGGGAGGCGGTGGCTCTTGCAGCCCAGCAGCCCGGCGGGTGTGAGGACTGGACGGCACAGCCCACGCACACATAATGCACCCCAGGGAACCGTGTCACACGCTTGGCCCGCCACAGCTACTAACACCGGGGACTTAAAATTCGCCTTCCAAACCGAGCAGCGCGGGAACTCGGCACCAACTTCAGCAAAGACAAGGTCGGGATCAGGACCCAAGTCCAGGCCTGTGAAATGCTGGGCCCTTCTGCTCCATGCAAACCCTACAAAGAGGCCACCAGGAGATCAGGTACATCAGATGCCACGTGAGCAGCCACTGGGGCCAGGCCACCAGGTGTTCCTGCCCCCGGCCCCGTGGTGGGGCTGGTGTCCTTTCCAGGCGTGTCACTTTGGCACCTCCCATGCACCAGGGCGCCCAACCCCTGGCCAGCAAGCCGCACGCAGTCCAGGACGTCTGTGAATGAATTTACTTAAAACATGATGAGATCCCTTTGTGACTGTGTCAGTGCATGTAATGAGTGGCCCAGGACAACCCTCCCTCTTCCAGTGTGGCCCAGAGACGCCCAGAGGTCGCACGCCCCTGCGCCGTCTCTGCCACCAGCCGGGGAGGGTGCGCTCTCGCCTCCCTCACACACCAGGAAGCCAGGGCCGAGGGCTCAGCAGCTCGTCCCTGAGACTCAGACGGCGGGTGCGACAGCCCCGTTCCGGCTCAGTTTCGCTTCCTGGCCATTTCAGTCTGTTTGGTCTGCCTGCTCGAGCCCTGCAGGGAGGTAAAGGGTGGGGGGAGCATAGCCAAGGGACCCAGTGACGGCGACAGGACCCCGACCGAGGCTCAGCGCTCACGTCCGTCCATCCGTCCGCACCTCTTCCATCCTCACAGCGACCTGAGGTCATCGTCCCCACCCCCAGAGGGAGGGCGAAAACGGGGTCGAGGCTGGGGGCGGGGTCACTTTCCCACAGAGCACACGGCCAGGGATTCGATCTCGGGACCCGGGCTCCTTGCTCACTGCCTTGCACACGCTCTTCCCTCTTTGAAGCCCCCCAGTTCTTTAGAGGTCGGTTCGAGGGCGCGTGTATGTCACAGGAATGACGCACGGTAGGGAGTGATGGGCACGTCCGCACAACCGTGCGGCCCATAAGCCCTTCGGCACATCTGGAAACGCCTCGGAGCATGACAGCACGGGTCCCGAGTTCCTGCAGCGCTGCCCGTGAAACCCGAGGCCTCGGCGCCCGGTGCGCAGCGGTGCACACGCTCCGCACACACTCCGCACATGCTCTCCGTGAGCTCCTCTCCCCCAGGGACTCCCTGATCCGTCTCTTCTGCACAACGCATCTTGCCGACACCCAAGACGAGCTCCCGAGTCAACTTCTCCACACGCCGCAGGAAACATGTGTGCGGACACGCTAAGAATGCCCCCCGCCGCCGCCTGAACAGAAGTTCTCTGCGTTTCCACGCACTGGCCGGGCTGATGGTTCTCCAACACGGCCGTCTCCCCCCCGGCCCAGCGTCTGGCTTCTCCGCGGCGAACAGGAAGCTCCTGGGCACGCGGCCTCTCCCGGACGCCGACGAACAGATGGGTGGGAGGACGTGCTGGGGGTTAAAACAGGGCTGGAGACAGGCTCTGTCTGGGTTCAGTCCAGAGAAACCTCAGAGGTGCTTTGTGTTTGATTCCTTCACTCTGTCTCCATGTCTGTAGACCCTACTGTGTGCGGGTCGCTGTGTTAGACCCTGGAGGCAGCCAGGTATGTGAAAGAGCTCAAATGAATGAACCCCCACCTGGTAGAGAAGACAGGTATGAACTACATCACTTCTGTGACAGAAGCATGCAAGAGTCCAGTGGAAACACGGACGAGGGAACACCTCCACGGTTCGGGAGAATCTGGGCAGGCTCCCTGGAGGAGGCAGCGTTTTCTTCCAGGGAGAGCTGGTGGAAGAGGCGCACGCAGGCTGAGCCAGCCCTGTGCACGCGTGGGGGCCTCAGGTCTCTGGGTGGGTGTAGACCAGTAGCCTATTTTTCAGGTTAGCAGGGCCTCCCGCCCTCTCTCTCCTGGTTTTTTTGGGGAACCCCTCCCCTTCAGGATGGTCCCAAAGGAGCTGTGCCCGGGGCTCAGAGAGATGGGCACATAGTTCAAGCTGGCGAAACTAGAACATCCCACCCTTCTGTCTGCAGGAATTCATTCAGGGACAGCCATGAGACTCAAGCAGAGCAAGTCAGAGGTGTTTCTGGGGTTGACGGAAGAATCCCGTGCCAGGGAAGGGGAGTCTCGAATTTGCAGGCCAGCTGGGCCCACGGCCGTGTGGGGCTGGTGGCGGGCGTGCCGCCGGGCCGGGGAGAGCCTGCTCGCCAAACCGCGTTCTCGGAGACCCAGGCAGCGAGATCTCTGCCTCTCTGCGTTTCTCTGAGGGTGCGCCTCCAAGACATCAGATACGCCGAACGTCCACATCTTAAAAACACAGAATCCTTTTCCTCTGAAACTGGCTCCATCCGGCCTTCCATCACTCTGAACGCATCGGGACAACGATGACAAGGTGCCGCACCCTAGTAGCCTAACGGGACGAGGGGGCAGAATGAGAATGAGGGTCACGTCACGAAGGACGGGGCCGCGGCCCCCAGATGTCGTCCCGTGGGCAAGGAGCAGGCGTCGGGGACACTGTGGAAGAAGCCAAGGGACGTGGTTCGGTTTTGTTTTACAGAGACGCCTGCAGCCGGCGGCTGAGTCGGGGTATGCACCACCCATCGGTCCGTGCACATACGGTGAGGGCTCCCCCTGGCTGCATGGGGGGGGGGGCGCGGGCCAGAGGGAAGGGCGCACACCGTGAAACCGATCGCTCCCTCCAAGGGCGCCGGGAGGCCCTTCCCTCTTTAGTGAGGAAGGTTATTTCATTAGTGGCGAACACTGAACTTGTCTGCGTTAAATAGTGGAGTCCACCTTTGAAGGGGACAGAACCATTTCTCACGCAGCAAAATCCCCGCAGGGAACATGACACATGCCGCGATCAGCGAGCCCGTCCATTAATCAAGGAAATGAAGGCCCAGGCCCCACGGGAGCCCGGCCGAGTATACTTCTCCACGTCCAGTTCTCTGGCTGGGTAGAGCAGCTGTGCTTCTCCACGGCCCTGAACTTGAACTCCATCTTGGCCGAAAACCTCAGACCCCCATACCTTCTAACAGCGCTCACTCGGGGCCTCATAACCGAGTCAAGGCCCAGGGCCGGCACCAAGGTCGGAGTCTGTCTTTAACAGGCGAAGTCTGCCCAGGACCCGCGGGGGACACGGCCCCGTGACCCTGAACTCTGAGTCAGCACCCGGTGGCAGGACCTGCTTCCAACCCGGGCTGAGCCCGTGGCCTTGACAACTCACGGCCTCTCTGAACCTCCACGTCTCCACCTGTGAAACGGGCGGAACCACAGCGCGCGGCCCCAGCCTGGCCACTGCGGCCCGGATCAGAGGGACCAGCACACGCACCTCTGGGGCTGAAATTCCAACTGGAGATCGTGATCCAGCAGCCACCAGAGGGGCGAGCACGTGGGGCAAAACCCACCCGCCCCTGCCCCCCCGAAACGAAAAGGAAAGGACGCCGGCCTCCCGAGAGCCAGCAGGCTGCGGCGGTCCCCTGAACGGCGGAGACGGGGAGACGGGTGAGGAAGCCGGTGGGCCGCGTTCGGGCGGTGGGACGCTGGCACGGCCAGGGCTGCGCAGGCCGCGGAGCGCGGGCTCCGTGGAAACGAGGGAGGACGAGGAGGGGCGGCAAGGGGCCACCCAGACGTGCCGCGAAGGAGAGGCCGCAGGCGCCTTCCAGCCACGCGCACCTGGAGGAACCCAAGCCAGGCTAGGCTAACAGGGTGACGCTTTTAACACCGTAAATTCAGGGTGCCCACGTTACAGTTGTTCTTTAAACAGGAATACTGGCAGCTGTGTGAGTGGGCCGGTCGGCGAGGCGCAGCACGGTGAGCAGGTGGGGGCCGCTCAGCCCCGCCCTCCCATGAGGCCAGGGAGGGGCCTGCAGGAACAGGCCAGGCATCCCGCAGCCCCTGGCGGACCCCTGCCCGAGTCAGACCTGCCGTACTCACGGGGTGGACCTGGCCGCGTGGCACACGGAGCGTAGAAGCCAGGCCCCGCCCCGAGGAGGCGGCTGCGGAGACTCGGCTCACAGCCAGGGCCCCGGCCAGCACGGAAGCTTCCCAAGAGGAAGACACCCTCCACGGTGCGCTACCACCGGTTCCCCGGGCCGGAGAGGGGCAGGGTGGAACCCGCTGCACAGCCACCTCACAGCACGGGGCCGGGGGGGGGGGGGAGGGCGGGGGGCGCTGTTCTAACCTGATGCCGGAGGGACGGGCCACTCCAGCCTCCCCAAGACACGGGAACGGAGAAGCAGAGGCCGGCCACCAGCCAGGTCTCTGAGGGGTGGGAACGGCGAGAGAGCTGGACCCAGGCAACAGGAGGGTCCGCCCCCGAGACAGGACGCCAACCGGCAGGCTGTGTGCGGAGGCTGCCCAGCAAGGACCAGGCTGCCCCGTGGCTCCCGGGGAACGTCCCTGAGCACGCTCCCCGCTGCCGCCGTCTCGGCACACCCCCACCCCCGCGCTGTCCCTGGCATCCCCCCCCCCCCCCCCCGCCCCTGCCCCGCCGCCCGCTGACCTGTGGATGATGTGGCGCCGCTGCAGGTAGTCCAGCGCCAGGGCCAGCTCGCAGACGTAGAGCCTCACCGCGCCCTCCGTGAAGCGCACGCTCTGCTGCAGGTGGTAGCGCAGGTCCCCGCCCAGCAGCAGGTCCGCCACCATGAACATGTCCTCCTCGTCCTGGAAGGAGTACCTGGAGGGGGCACAGAGGGGCAGAGCTCCTGAGGGGCGGAGGACTCCAGCGTCAAGACCGATGCTCCCATCTTACAGACGCGCACATGGAGGCCGGGGGAGAGGCACTGGCGTGGCCCGAGTCCCAGTGTGTGGTCGACAGAGGACAGACCCCCGGGCTCCGGCAGACGAACGGCATGTTCGCCGCTGCTAGGCGCCGACGCCTGACTTCGTTTCTGGCGGACGCCTGAGTTTGGTGTCTTCAGGATTTGCAGTTGCCCGTCTCCAAAGACTCAACCCCCTCCCCAAAAGTTCCTCCGTTCCCCGCACACAGGCCACTCCCCAACGAAGGGGGCGGGGCTTGCTTCTGCAACCCTGGGACCCTGCGCCGCTCTGGCAAGTCCAAGGACAAGCCTCAGGGAACCTGCGGTTTCTACTTCCTGCCTCTTGGAGACCGGCCAGACCGCCAGCCCCAGGGAGAAGCCACGAGAAGGACAACCAAGGCGCTCTGGTCAACAGCAGCCGCAGATGAGCAGCCAGTGACGGGCAGTGCCAACTGGGGGCTGCAGGGCGAGCCACCTGGGCCCCGGGATGTCCCACGGCAGCCCCCGCCGATGTCACGTGGAGCAGGACCGCACAGCGGAGCTGTCAACTCACGGAACAGGAGATGACAAGGCAGCCGTGTCCTAAGCCGTTCCTTAAGCCGGCTCCCGAGGGCAATGGGCAGCGGACACGGCACCGAATGCATCTAAAAAATACATGCAGGGTTTTCAAGAGCCAACACTGAATCTGAGAATGGTGGAGTACAATCACAGTGCCGTAAAACAGTGTCATGTCTCACAGAGAACGGTGGAACGTAATGAGGGCATCGTGACATGTAATCACAGAGTGACAGCGTTGTCATGGGAAGCACACCCGTGTCTCGGGTCCCTGAGTGTCGGACCAGGGCCAGGGCCAGGCCATTCTTCTGTTTCGACAGAGGAGGAACCCGAGGCCCAGAGGAGAGAGGGAAGTTAGGGGCGGGGTGGGGACACGAACCCAGATCTCCGGCCTTCCCCGGTGCTCCCACCAGGACACGCTGGCACGCACGCGCACTGTGTTTCTGCAACCTGGGCGTGCAGCCCCGCGGAGGGGACCCGATGCTTGGTTTCACCCACGGGAGGGGACGGCCACGTGCTCACAGGACGGGGGACTCCAGGGCTGGACAAACGCTTACAAACCACCCAGGCCCGCCGGCCCCCTATCACAGAGACTGGGAGCCAGGGACTGAGGATGGTGGCCCGGACGCTGCGGTCTCGTTTGTGTCACTGGCTACCCACGCAGTTCTGCGTCCAGGCCGGGAGGGCGGGGCCCCGTAAGGCGCTGCCCAACCACGAATGTAGCAGATGTCTACGGAGCACCTGCCCCGTGACCGGCACCGGGCTGTGTGCCGAACACACAGAGACAGAGAGACCGCCCTCTCTCTGAAGGAGCATGCGGCCCCTGTAAGAGGGGGCTGAGGCCACAGCGCTGGCCATGCGGGGGGCCGGGCACACTAGGAGGCTCTCTGGGGTGCAGCGGGGCGTGCAGAGGGAGCCGTCTCTCCAGAGGTGGCGCGGGCTGGGGGTCTTTGCAGATGAGGGTCTGGAGCACTCGGGGGCTGTGACTCAGACACAGGGACAGCCTGAACCCTCTGGCGCTGGGGCTCCAGGGTTCTGCGGGGCTGTGGCTCCTCCCGTTCTCCCGTGTCCAGCATCTCAGCCACTGACGGTCCTGGGGGGTGGGGGGTGGCGCAGCTTCTTCCCTCTGGCGCGGACCCACTTCAGGGCCGGTGGCCTGGCTGCCAGCCCAGGCAGGGCCCAGAGGGCCAGGGGCTTGCTGGCTGGGCCAGAGCCATCTGCAGGGCACTAGCTGGACTTCCCATCTGTTGCAGGACAAGAGGAAGCTCAGTCTGGCACGTGGTCGCCGCCGCTCTGGATGCATCACAGGAGTGCCTGAATGTCAGTGACGTGATTAAACAATAAAGCAGGCCCCACCCCGCAGCCAGAACCCTGCGAGGTCGAGGCTGGGGGCCCTGGCCTTTGCCAGACACTGTAGGTCCTGGGTGGCCGTCCAGGTAACGTATCTGGGCCCCGTGGGCAGACAGAAAACCAAGCAAGGAGGCGCTGGACACACGAGCCCGGAGCAGTTAACGGAATGAAGGCCTTGGAAGGCCTCCTCAATCTTGTCTTTGAACGTGATCGGAGCCATGGTTGGTGGTTGATGTTTTCTCTTCCATGCAAGTTTCAGGATAAATGTATCTAGTTTCTTGAGAAACCCTTCTTCGACGTTTGTTGGAATTATGTGGACTTTACAAATTACGGAGAATTAACCCTGCCGCACCTTTCCAACCTTCCCAGGAACAGGAAATGCTCGGTCTTCTTTTAGGTCTGGCAACGAAGTTTTTATTAATTTTCTACTTAAAGGTCTGGCATAGATGTATTTTTATTCTGAAATTTAAGTAGTTTCACTGCTGTTGTGAACATGATCTTTTAGAACAAGGCCGACCCAGCCCGGTCACCGCCACGGGAGACCCGCCCTGCAGAAGTGTGGACGTCCGCCTCGACGCCAGGGGCCTGGCCGGCCTCCTGGTCATCGGCTCCCCTGCCCTGTCCTTCGGGCTCCGGGCTGCTCACCCTGTGACGGCGACGGCGACGGCGTCTCCTACGGAAAACCTGCCGCAGCTGCGTCCTTCTTGCTCTTGGCTTCCTTTCACCGTCCGCAGCCTCCAGTGAAATGTCGATCGTGAGAAGTGGCAGCGGGCGTTTCTGCGTCGGTCTGGACCTCAATGAAGTGTGCTCACCGTTACCTAATGTGTTTGCTGTAGACGTTTGGTGAATTCATTTATCCAGTTAGGAAAGTTGCTGGAAATGTCTGAACTGACACGTCTTCCCGTTGGCTCCTGGAGGGAGGGGTTGAGACACCCAAAGGACACCCTACAGGCCTCAGCAGCCGCACTGGGCCTCCTACGGAAGCTCCGCCCGCGCTCCAACCGCGGGTGGCCGGCTGCAGCACCGCATGGATCACCAGGGCGCTCTGCACCTCTCTGTGCACGGCCGCCGCCCACGGCGCCTCACCCAGCCTTCGGTCAGACTCTCCCGCGGGGCAGCGTGAGTGCTCGGGAGAGAAACCCGCACACCGGAATGGAGGAAACCCTACACATAGCAAGGGGCCTGATGCCAGCCCTAACGCAGGGAGCGGCTCTTTCGTGCCGAAGGCCCACTTTGCCCTGGGCCCCGGCCCCTGCATTCCCAAAGAGACGCGATGTCATTGTCGGAGAACAGAGGACGACCCTCGGTCCCTCTCCCTCTGCAGTGCTGCGCCATCACACAGCTCTGTGCCACTGTCCCTTTCCCCTCCTCTCAGGCTGGAACTGTACTCAAGTCCTCGTGCTGCACTCTGCCACGGAGATGACACAGCCACCAACGAGAAGTCCGCACTCTGCCGCCGGGGCACTGCCGTGGGGCAGTCTGGGAAACGCCCCCTCCCCCCCACCCCCCGCCTGACTTCATCTCGCCTGGCCAGCGCCCGGCACCAGGAGGCCCTCCCCCAGCTGTGCCGTGATGGGGGTGGGGGGGGGGCGGTGGGAAGCACCAGGCCACGCGGCCGTTTCAAACACCTGCCTCGCTCCAGTTCTTTCCCGAGGCAACAGGAGCCGAGTGCCCAGAGGTGACTCTGCGGGATAGTCCTTCCGGGGCCGAAACCAGCGGCCGGGACGGGCCACGTGTGTCCGACCGTCGTCTCCTGCGCCGATGGTGCGGTGCCCGCAGGGACACGGAGCGGGCGTCCCCTGGGACCGCGTGCACCCAGTCAGATCTCCCCGGGGAGCAGGCAGAGAGGAGGGCTCGCCCGCCGCGCTCGCTCGCTCCCGGCGAGTCTCAGGGACTTAGCATCCCGCAGGAGGGGAGCTAAAAATACCCTCTCGGGCTGCAGACACTTAATAACGGGCTGCTGGGCCTCTGTCCGCTCCCATTGTACAAAGAAAAAGGAGCTTCTCACACTTGAATTCTGCTTGATGCATATAACTCTCCGATAACATTCACAATAGAAGCTTTTTTTTTTTTCCTTTTTAATTTGACTTGAGCTACAGCGTCCTCAGGCTGTTCAAACAGCCTGCCCCTCGCCGCTCTCCGCACCGGCCGACCCTGCTGCTGCCCCTGCCCCTGCCTCCTTCCCGGGAAGCCAGATGCGGCTGGGCAGCTTCCCTCTGCCCCCAGGGGGCCACACGACAGCCAGGGAAGACTCTCCAACACCATCCGCTGCTCCCCAGGCCACAGCAGTCTGGGGGGAAATGGGGAGTCGTGGGCGATGCACAGGCAAGCTGGGGGTCCAAGCCCCACAGCCCGCCTGCGGCACAGCAGGACGTGGCGGACAATGAGGTGCCACCCCTCCGTGTAAATGCAGGACACTGCTCCTGGTCTAAGGGTTCTGCTGATCTCCTGCACGCCTCTGACGGTTCTGCGGTGGCCGACAGAGTCAGTCCAGTGGGAGGGATGGGGAAAGATGTGGAGCCAGGGAGGGGCCAGGGGGCTGCTCACCCGGACACTCGGGGCAGGAAGGGCAGCTCCGACCTCTTCCCCGTGCAGAGCAAGCAGAGGGCCGTGCAGACCGACCGCCTCCCACTACGTGGTGGAGCTCCCCGGGAAACCGCCCCGGCAAGGAGCTCCATTTCCGGGAGGCTTTCGGTGAGGAATCACTGCATCGAACAGTTCCAGGGCTATCTCAGTTCACATCTCTTTCTTGGTTCAGTTTTGGGGTTTCATTAGTGTTAAGTGGTTCGCAGCGTTCCATGATTACCTTCCAACGGCTGCCGGGTCTGCCTCAACCTTGACATTTGTGACTGGGATCCTCGCCCGGCTTATACGTGTGAGTCCTGAGAACCGCGTATGAACCCTCACATGTTTCTGAAGAGGCAGCCTATTGTTTCACTGGGTTTCTTTTTTTTCTATTGCTTACCTTTTTTCAATTGCATTTATTCTACCTTTTATTATGTCCTACTTTCTG